GGGACATGTCTGCCATTAAATCTTTTGTGTTATTTTTAAAATGCGTTGTATTTTTTGTCAACTTACGTCCATTTGGTTCTATTATCAAGGATTTCAGTTCAAGAAGATTACCAGTTTCTTTATTAAGGAAATATGAAAAGATTACTCTTCGTTTGAACAAAGCCGAATTGGATTTTAATTTTTTGCATAATTGCAAGGCATTCGGAGTTTTTCCTAAAATTAATTCTTCAAGTACGATGACTATTTTCAGGACATAGTAAAACAGATAAAAATGGAGTTTGAGGAGGCCAGCAGCCAGCAGAGGGCTGATAGGCTGATGATGAACTATGCTATGCCCGAGGCATATATATTGGGGATGCAGTTGTAAAAAGTCAAAATATTCCCATACTTTCAACCAATCAGATACCTGGAATCTGTGTATGTGGTTTGTAATAGCATGGAGAATAGTTAATGCAATTGTTCGTTTTAAATTACTGGCATTCACAGATAAAGCAAGAAATTAAAATGTTTGAGAGCCAGGGAGCTGAGATGGAGACTCAACGCAAAGCTATCTTGAAGAGTCTGGAAGAGAAGCAAACAGCTGCCGCCAAAGATGCTGATGAATACGATTCCAAAAGCAAAACTGTCAACAAAATTCTGGATCAACTTAAAGCAGGTAATGATTATTTTCACTTATCTAATTACCCTATTTATTCAAATAAACACCCTGCTTTGAATATAATGCCCCCTCAAATATATTCCCAGTTTAAGAGCCTCATTTGGCATAAACGCCTCCCTTGCATAAATGTCCCGATTTCCTCAAATAAACATTCCCCCTCCACCCATATAATAATAAATGTCAAATTTCATAAGTGACGTAATTGGCAGTCTGATGTATTGGGTTAAAGTTCAAAGTAAAATAAAATGGCTGCGCCTGGTAAAACAGCACGATTGATGTTGTCAAACTAACCATGTATCTGCTAAAAATGGTCTAGTGTGAACAGCCTGTAATGTTTAACCGAAGACTATAAAACTGCAAGAATTCTGACTCTTGGGGCTTTAGTAGGAACATATTTCACGTTTTAAGTACTACCACGAACTAGAGGGCGTCCTTCAAAAGGCGAGTTTCAAACTCTCTCATGGAAAAAAAAAATTCTGACATTTTTACAGTATTTCAGCCCAAGACTCTTTGATTGATTGTTAATTATCACACACATCATTTTCATATCTCCACTAAAATTAGTTCTCTCCTGTTCTTTACATAATATTTCAGGTGTTGAATCGCTGTTTACCAAAATCAACTGCGACCGTTCAACGATTAATGACATGCTTGGTAACACATCTGGCGTTTCGGATGAAACAATTGTGCAGTACCTCGGCCTAGTTGAGCAGAGAACCAATGAGCTTCTAGCTGTTAATATCTATGTTGAAAATAAGGTATGTGAGTATGTGGGGGGGGGGGGGGGGGGGGGCGGGGTTGGCTAGAGAGAACTAGGAATTTGGAATGTTGACCTGTAAAACAGTAAGAGATGGAATGTTTTCTGTCTTTACACTCTTGAGTTAATTACCTATTGTATGCCTCTAGTGGCGTATCTAGGAGTTTTGAAATGGGTAAGGGGGACTGATAGGGGGTTCGATGATTAAGTGAGGGTGCTAGTTCGCAAAATATTTTTTTGCTTCAGACTTTTCAAAGGGGGGGGGGAGGGACTGGGAGGGCGTAACCTTTTTTTGGGTAGGGGAAACGCACCCCTAGATGCCACCTTTTATTATCATTATTATTATTTTTATTATTATTATTATCCTTTTTATTTTTGTTTTGTCATTGTGTAAAATGTTGATTTGGTTTTGTTTATTAGAGTTTTCTCCCACCCGCACCATATTTATTTCGCTACTGCTTGCTTATGAATTAAACAAATTTTTTATGCTACTTCAATCACAAATCAAGCATCATGCCCATTTTTCCACTATAGATGGCAGCAAACTAATTGCAGTTGTAAATTTCATTATTTAGAATGTGGACCATGAACCTCAGTCCATGGGTGGTTTACTTGGTAAAGGACCGGTACCAGCACCACAACAATTACTCATTATGGCACCGACAACCGGAGATGACTATGATAGCGACCAAGGCTCGGAGATGAGCGAAGAAGAAAGCAGACCTCTAACGCAAGCAGAATTAAAACAACGGATCATGAAAGGGGTCTTGAAGAAAGAAGCGGCTGCCGCCAGGAAGGGGTTTCAGTATGATTTATCTGGTGCGAAGGAAATGAAGCAGAAACAGTCACTGCCAGAGAAGAAACGTGGTACCACAAAACGCTAAAGCATGAATTTCAAAAATATAGTTATTGAATTATAAACACTACACATACTGTAAAGTATCGTAATTTATGGATGTATTGCTTTATTTTTTTTGTTCATTATTTTCTTTTTTTGAGCATCCATTTTCTTATAAAGCATAGGTACTGTACAATCAAAATGTGGTTTCACTTTATAAGACATTTGTATTTTGTATTCAAAAACCCTAACATGCTTCATTTATAGGAATTCTATTTTATTGTGTGTTATTCATCACCTTTTGCAACATGGTTTTAAGTACATGATTGTTGGATTTTTTTGTTTGTTATTTTTCCCTCACTCCCATGTTAAGCACTCAACATGGGAGTGAGTTGATATCAATTAGTCAGATTTGTAAATTATAAAAATATTGTAAAATAAAATCTTTGAAATGTTCACTTTGTGACAGTAGTCCAGTACCTTTAGTCATACATTATTATAATACCCAGTATTAATTAGACTGTCTTAGTCCAAAAGGCATTATATTTTAGATGGAACAGGGTTTTGCTCTAGCCTTCCCATATTAAACGTCTGTACCTTATCCCCTTTTCTGGACGATATCTTTTAATAATTGTGTTGATGCATTGTAGAGGCCTAATGTTACTTCTAAGAGAACTAGCATGTTGACACAAAATGGAATTAAATAATTAAAGGCAGACACATTTTCCAAGCATTTTTCATTTATTAAAGAAGTTTTCTCGCTTTAATGCATTGACAAGTACAATATGTTGATTTATTTCTGTCAGTGATCGTGTGTTGATATAATTGCAATTAGGCACTGCATGGCAGCCCCTCCAAAAAATTACATTTTTGAGACTTTGTTGAAAACTGCATTACAATTGACGTTTCCAGAGTGCCAAACAAACTTAACAACCGACCAATCCAATCAGAAAAAAGACCAAAAATCCTTTGATTTTCCAGCCAATTTTGGGCTCATAATCCCTTCAAATCAAATGTGAAATTTTATATAATAATTAATTAATTGGCATACATATTTTAGCTTAGTCATCAATATTTGAACGCTCTATCTTATACAGAATAATGAAATATCGCCAGACAATGTGTCTATAAAACTGCAGTTTTTTGACACAGAGACGGACGGTAGTAATTGACCCCAACACGATGATATCAACTAAACTTTACCCCCAAAAGATGTTTTAGCAGTAGAAATTCGATATGCACCCTAGAAATTAGATAACATCAGATAAAACAATTTAAAATTAAGGGTCATTTGGCAGAAGAATTATATCGTACTGAGTTCGAGCGGAATACAAGAATTCCTTGCTCTGCTTTGCTGAGGTAAATATCCATTCACATTGTAATATTTTGTTTTCTCAGCGCAATCGGCGTAGGCCTACTTATACCATATTTTATTTAGGTGTTTGTGAATACTAAAAAAACTGTAGTTCAATCAAACAATTCAGTTCATATTCATTCTAATATTAAAAAGATCAAATATGTTATTATGAAACACCTGATAAAAAACAATTCATTTCATTTATTTATTGATGTTCTGCTACAAATATCCTTAATTTACCGAACGATTATCGCGAACATTGCGACCGGCATTTGGTGAGGTTGTGTGAAAATGAAGTTACAAACCTCACAGTAACGCTGATGCTATTTTAGTTGGAAATTGCGTAATAAATACGTACGCATTTGTGGTTTTACGAAAGACGAAGACCAACACTGTAACGTTGTTAACGTAAAATTGTTAGTATGGGCAGTTAATCATTCTAAAACGTCAACCCAACTAAAAACAGCTGAAATTAATCATATAAGAACGTTATAATAACGTTACAGCTTGGTAATAAGAAAGTTATTTTGTAAAACCATATGTACGTAATTTCACAACGTCACAACGTTTGAACGTTCTTACAACGTTTGTGAACGTTATTTTGTGACATACCTAGCCACAACGTTCGCGAACGTTATAAGAACGTTTTGTATTTGCTTGGTTCTTGTCTCTTCTCTCCCTAATTGCAAACATTTACCAGTTTCCCTAATTTAACAGAGATAGGGCCTCTATCGTATAGCATGGAATTTAATAAATCACTGGAAATTTTCCAGGTTCTATTGGTACTCTTTTCTAGATGGCATATTTTCTGCTACGTAAAAAACGATGAACAGCCCAAAAATAATGTTTTTGTTTAATGTCATCGTTTGAATAAATAAATGTATTATATAATTCTACGATGTCATGTAATTCTACTCGCAACAATGCGTAATATTTTTAAGTGCTGCTTTAGCAACATAGAAACAATATTATTTTTTTGCAATAAAAAGCTAATACAACTTATTTATATACCGTAAAACCTCGAATTGAAGCCCTGAGCTTTTCTTTTTCTTTGAGAACTTTGGATGGGCTTCTTTTCAAGATGGGCTTCTTTTCGAGACTATTTTTGCAAAGTAAAGAGTGGGGCCTCTTTTCAAAATGAATGCTGTAAATTTTGTGAATTTGTACTATAAGACACTAAATAAGGCCACTGTAACATCAATCTGTATCATGGAGCATATTTAACTGGCATTAAATCATCTAAACTACTGTATAAACCAAGCTTGTATTTAATTTATTTTGTTTTCTGAAATTGATGTACAGTGTTATGTGACTGTTATATCAAGAAAAGAAGCCTATGTTATCTTGAAAAGAAGCCCATGGGCTTCTTTTCGAGGTAAATTTTGCAAACTAAAGAGGGGGCTTCAATTCGAGATGGGTTTCATCTCGAGATTAAGCCCACTGGGCTTCAATTCGAGGTTTTACGGTAGTTTTACACTATACATATTTTTGATTAACAAAAAAATGTTTTTGTAATCCTAAACACATTTAATGAATGTTTTACAGCTAACACTTGGCTTTACAGTGATATATTTGAGCTTTTTCACGATGAATAATCATGTTAGTAGACACATGCAGGTAGTAAAGAATCTGATGACACATCTTACTACTATGTTTGTTTCTTTGCTCACCAGGTAAATCATGATAATGTGGGTTATTCAATATTAATTAGCTTAATTTTTAGATTATAATTAAAGAGGGATTATTCGTTTTTACATACTGTGTAAAATTAATTAGAATTTCAAACCCCCCATTTGAGTTAATTATTTATAAAGTTTTGCTAAGTTCAATATTAATAAAATAAATAATTGATTTTCGAATTTATTGATGATAACAAAATCAATCACAACAGAATTTAAAATGACGTTTGTTCTTCAATACGAATCTCAGAGAAGTTGTGGAAATCTTACAAAAAGGTCAAAGTATTCGTACTATATATTTTCCAATAGAAATTGAATTCTGAACCCCTTTATATTACTCATCTATATAAATTTATAGTGTAGTGCAAATTTAGTATTAATGATAAAGATATCAAAGACAGCGTTGAAAATAATGATGATAATTGATTGAGGTGGTGATGACGATGGATGGTGATTATGAAGTAGGCCTACTTTGATGATTATGGAAATATACTATTTTAGTAAATATCCGCATTGTTGAAGTTTTTCTTTGTGTGATTTCACATTTATCCAGGATAGTTGGGTCTAACAGTATACACAGACATGATGAAGGTCTTCCAGGCGACACTTCTAGAGGGAAATATTATAAAAATTGAACGTGTTCAAAATAAGGATTGTTGGGCCGCATATGCACGGTAATGAGTTCACTTCAACAACAATCTGAGCAGTTCATGCGTTTCAGAATGTTAGATTTGATGTTGGGCCTGTGCTCACAGGCACAATTCTCCCGGTAAACAAATATGTAGGCCTATAATTTTCACAAGTAACAACTGTACTGCATTTATCCTTTAATTTCTTCAAGCAAAAACAAAGATTTTTTCCCCTCAGAAATGGCGGTAACGTATTGAAAACGATATTTAATACGTGATTTGTTGATAACCTTTGTGATTCTTTGAAATGAGCAATTTTTAAAGTTTTCTTCTCAAATGTTTTGTAATAATTTGATATTGTGCGAAATTAAAAGTAGTTCGGAGAGAAACCCAGCGTATACCTTCATGTTAAAATTATTCCACAACGACACGGACTCAAACGAACAAGAGCATCGGAGTAACCCCACTCTTTCGTGAGAAGCAAATGCAGCATACATCACAATTATTCGGGAAGCGTGTCGTATGATTTGGTCGATTGTCGAGAGTTTTATTAACAGTCCTAATATTTATGGTAATGAAGAGATAGAGATATCCTTTTTTTTGTACGAAATTGTAGGTACAGTGCTTTATATACAGAAGAATTATTAACATAATTGTAAACTTGTATTCAAAAACAATATAGGCTTCGAAAAGTTTTATAATACTTACCGTTGTTATATCTAAAATGAAATTAAATTATCATAGTATAAAATTAATAGTATTATCATTAGTATAAAATTGAGATAGAACTACACATGTTGATTAATGGTTACAATTAGTACATAGAGGTAACAGGGCAAGGGTAAGTGGTACAGTGTAAAACTCAAGTGGCGCAGTGCAAAAGTAACTTTCTATTTCATAGGCCTACTGGTTTAGGATTGTATTATATTTGTCAAATCCTAACAGTCAGCTCTCAATTGAGAAAAATGTATTGCTGCCTTAAATTAAAAATTACAGTACATTAAAAGTTGATAAAAGTAAAGTAAGACTATAATTTAATAAAAATGGCCCATTAAATAAAATTCTCTAAACACTAAATTAAAAAAAAAATCAAAACAATTCAGTTTTTATAAATCTTTTACTTCGACAGTTATTTGATTTGCCAGCCAATTTAAGGCCTAAAATCCTTTCAATACAATAATATGATCCGTGCTCAATAATAAAATTCAAACTTCTGAAATTATTTACTGCTAAGACAATCAAGTACAATATTAAATATATTTAATTAAGGCATACCTACTTTAGCTTAGTCATCAATATTTGAATGCTCTATCTTATACAGAAACATAAGTCAGCAAAATATCGCCAAACAATTTGTTAAAACAGCAGTTTTTTGACACAGCATGCAGCGATTGACCCCAAAAAGCTAAATGTTACCCCCAAATGATGTTTTAGGAGTAGACATTCGATATGCATTGAAATTAGATAACATCAGATAAAAGGTTTTAAATAAGGCCCTATAAAAATAATTCTTAGTTTATCACCCTATCTATGCTGAGAAAAATTGATGAGGGAGAGAGGATTTTTAATATTTTTATTTCGCTAAAGCCAAATATCAAACACTTGCTAGGGCATTGATATTCAAAGTAAAATACACTATTGACATAATACAAACAATATCTAATTATTTACGAAAAAAAATGAAAAAGAAATTCAAAAAGACAAAAATTTAGAAAACATTTTTTTTTTCAAAAATATATATTTTTTACCATAGGGTGATAAATTAAGGGTCACCCCTAAAGCCTCATTTACACTAGATACGATTACGACAAGATACAAATGCGCGCAGTGTAGAAGAATACAAACTAAGTGATGATATATCGTTTTCGTGGCGTAATCGTCACTCTAGTGTAAATGTGGCTTTAGGGTCGTTTGGCAGACGAATTTTATTATTATCACCGAGTTTTGAGCGGAATACAATAATTCGTTTGGTGCTTTTCTTAGCTCATGTAAATATATACATTCACATTGTAATCCTCCTCCTCCTTGAAGACTTCGAGTGGAATTATTTAGATTTATTTTATTTTGGGAAGGGATATTTATTTACCGTTTATGTCCTCTTTGTTTGGATCCGCGG